TCACTAGGAATACACAATCAAATTATAGTGTTTTAAAGTCACTTGAAATAAATTTTCACTGTCTTTCAAGCCATCAGCTCAATACACAATTAGGTTCTTGTTTGTTTGTTTTTTTTGCTTTTGAGTTTTTGGGATCACTTTAAAATTAAAAAAATTATTATGGTAAGATATACATAACAAAGTTTATAATTATAATGATTTTTAACTATCTAGCCCAGTGGCCTTGTACAGTTGTACATTGATGTACAGTTACCACCCCACCCCCACCAACTCTAGAAGATTTTCCATCTTCCCAAACTGAACCCATTAAACTCATTCCCAACTCTGTACCCATTAAACACTAATTCCTCCTCATCCTTTTCCCCCAGGCTCTGTCAACCATTCTACTTTTTGTCTCTATAAATCTGACTACTTTAGGTATTTCATATAAGTGGAATCACACAGTATTTGTTCTTTTGTGACTGTCTTATTTCACTCTGAGGACAACTATTTAAATACTTAGTAGTATTTAATAATTATGTAAAATATTTACATGGTTCCATCACTAGGAATACACAATCAAATTATAGTGTTTTAAAGTCACTTGAAATAAATTTTCACTGTCTTTCAAGCCATCAGCTCAATACACAATTAGGTTCTTGTTTGTTTGTTTTTTTTGCTTTTGAGTTTTTGGGATCACTTTAAAATTAAAAAAATTATTATGGTAAGATATACATAACAAAGTTTATAATTATAATGATTTTTAACTATCTAGCCCAGTGGCCTTGTACAGTTGTACATTGATGTACAGTTACCACCCCACCCCCACCAACTCTAGAAGATTTTCCATCTTCCCAAACTGAACCCATTAAACTCATTCCCAACTCTGTACCCATTAAACACTAATTCCTCCTCATCCTTTTCCCCCAGGCTCTGTCAACCATTCTACTTTTTGTCTCTATAAATCTGACTACTTTAGGTATTTCATATAAGTGGAATCACACAGTATTTGTTCTTTTGTGACTGTCTTATTTCACTCTGAGGACAACTATTTAAATACTTAGTAGTATTTAATAATTATGTAAAATATTTACATGGTTCCATTCCAAAGTCAAATCTCCAAAACAAGTTTCATTCGGGGAGGCCTAGTTTCTATTCTTGTCCCCTATCCCTAAATAGGCAAAGATTAAAATGTTTGTGGTTTATCCTTTTCTTGCTGTCATCCCTTTTTTCCACTATAAGCAAACAAAAACACATATTTGTATTTATTCTCTCTTTCTCAAATGGTTGCAAATATAAATGGTAAACAAATAATAGTATACCGTACAAACTTTCTCTCTCTTGCTTTATCCACTTATCCATATATCAAGGATGTCATTCTTTATCATTATATAAAGATATAAATTCTCAATTCTCACTCATCTTTACAGCTCTTATCTCCTAATTCCAAACTGTTCCGTCAGCTTTCATACAATGTTGAGGAGTACAGTTGGAGGGGCGCCTGGGTGGCTCAGTGGGTTAAGCCTCTGCCTTCGGCTCAGGTCATGATAACAGGGTTCTGGGATCGAGCCCTGCATCAGGCTCTCTGCTCAGCAGGGAGCCTGCTTCCCTCTCTCTCTGCCTGCCTCTCTGCCTACTTGTGATTTCTGCCAAATAAATAAATAAAATCTTAAAAAAAAAAAAGGAGTACAGTTGGAGGTTACATACCATATACTTTCCTAATACTTGTTGAAAATCTGCAGCAACTGCATTTGAAGGAGAAAAATGTTCTTGCGACATCAAAGGATTTCTCAGAAAAGTTTCACTAACCTGGGGACATTAATGGAAATATTTAACCTATATAGATAATTTCAACTGGCGAATCACAGAGCAAATGTTTATTTGAAGCATAGTCTGGCAGAAATGTGAAATAAAAGAATATTCTATTGCCACACCATTTCTAGCTTTTTGGTGGCAGGGTGTCCTTTCCAATCGAAGATGCTGTATGTACGAAACCTGTGCTTGCCCGGTCTTCTCTGTGGCTCTTGCACAGATCACAAGCTCAGGCAGTGGGGCTGCAAATACCACTCTGAGTCTTTGGTATGCCTGCGGACTCAAAAGCAAGAGCAAGTGCTCACCTCTGGTACACAAAGAAGGAGTCCATTTTGTTTTCTAAGTAAATGTTTTTTGTTTTGCCTTCCTCCTCCCCCACTCCAAAGCCATTCAACGATGAAGAAACAATCCCAGCAGAATGTCATGGTACTATCTTTCAAACCCTTATGTTTTTTTTTTTTTTTTCTGTTTCCAAACGCTTATGGTTGTCATAGGATATTTCAAGGTGTCAAGAAGGAATTCTTGCAATTGTTTGTACTCAGTGTTGTATTCCCCAGCAACGGTGGTAAAATGTATGTGGTTACCAATTTGGTACCTGGTTTTAGGAAGGTGGTAAAGTTCAAATGTTTTGTCACAATAGCAGAGAGGGAGGAAAATTAGGATAATTTTAAATAGTCACTTAAATCGCTAACAGTGGTTAGCATCTACACTCTAACAGTTATTCAAGTGTATCTGAAGAGAGAATTTCAGAATTAGTCCTTATAATCCTTGATTCTATATGTGGTTACAGTTTGAGTTGTGTTAAAGCAAGACAGTACACTAATTAAATATATGCATGTTTCATGAATTTGACTGGAGAATATCTGTTAGTCACTATAGTATTGCTGACTGATTTTTTCCATTAATGTTTTTTACTTATTTTTTATTTTAGGAAAGATCTATTTACTTATTTTAGAGAGAGCATGCATGATTGAGGGGGAGGGACAGAGAGAGAATCCCAAGAAGACTCCCCGCGGAGCAAGGGAGTCTGATGTGGGGCTTGATCCCATAACCCTGAGATCATGAGCTGAGCCAAAATCAAGAGTTGGATGCTTAACCGACTGAGCCACCCAGGCACCCCTATTTGTAAATTAAATACATATGCCATTGAAATGGTAAAATAAATATTAGTAAAGTTTAATTTCTCTCTTAGTTTGAAAGAACAAGATAAATACAAAGAGACAGTCTAATGGATCTGTGTGGGCAGTCTTTGCAGACCTTGCTTTAGGGTTGGGAGAAGTGTGGAAACAGGGCAGATGAAGGGTAAGGGTAAGAAGTCTCTGAGGGTCATTAATAGCTCTGCTTTATAGACAAGTGATCTGCTTTTACTAGCAGACGACAGTCTTACTAGCACACTATAAAACAGAGACCTCATAATTTCAATCACTGAGAAAGTCCTTAAAGTAGTATAAGAAATGACTTACGTTTTTAAGAAATGCAGATGGCGTTATGGTATCCAAGGCATTGTCTGTAGCACATAGGTAAGTGATTCCATCAATAAAGAGAGTATGGTAGACAAAGCTTTGAAAAGAATACATTAATTTACATGATAACATTGAAGAAATTAAGTACCCTTACAGAGATACTATTTTCAAGCTCTCGGTAGTATACAAGCTCTGTAGATAACTTTTTATAATGAGAACTAGACAATCTTTCATATATATGAAAGATTAAATTATGTTAAATAAAAACTATAAAATTAGAATATGTATTTAGGATGTCATCAATAAAATAAAATACAATCGATAGAAAACTGTATCCATTTATTTATCTATCTATATTTAAAATGGCCTTGGTAGGGGTACTTGGGGGGCTTAGTCAGTTAAACATCTGTCTCCACTCAGGTCATGATCCTGGGGTCCTGCAATACAGCCCCTGCTCGGCGGAGAGTCTGTGTCTCCCTTTGCCTCTGACCCTCCCCAATGGCAGGGCTTGTGCTCTCTCTCTCTCAAATAAATAAATAAAATCTTTAAAAGATGGCTTTTTATAGATAGCACTCATTCTAAGACTGAATAAAGATTGTCATTAAAAAAAAAAAGATTGTCATCAAATAGAAAATGCTATGTTCACTGATTTTTACTTTCCCTGTATCTTTAGGTAGACACATTTAATTTTGGAGTTTCTTGGCTTTCTATTATGATAGATTAGAATTTAAAAGTTATAAACAACCAATACTAAATATTCTGAGGAACACGATGAACTGGAGAGGGGGAAATTAAACTTCCTTATAGTATGTGATAGTGTATCTTACCTGACCTTTTATGCCTTCTCAGAGTCACATATTAAGAAGCTAGAAGACTCTTGGAAAGTGCCTCCATTTTTACTGCCCAACAATCCAGAAAATTTAAAAATATGGCAACAGAAATAGTTGCTTGGTGCCTAGACTTTTAATCTTGTCATTCTGAATATTCTACATCCAAATGGCTAGCAGGCAGTAGACCTGGAAAAACGTTAAATTGGATATACACAAAAATGACGAATCTCAGAAACAGGGAGAAAAGATAATCCCAGAGGCAGAAAATTTAAAGTATGTGCCCGCCCTTACCATATAAATCCTTCATATCATATCACGAATATAATGTGCTACGAATATTTTTAATGATGATATTGATTGATACACATAATCTCCACTTGGAAAATATTTTTATTTCTAAGTTGGGAGGAGTCTTTTTTGAAAAAGAGTTGCTAATTCTATCATCTCTCTGAAAGTTATATATGTGATTTGAATAAGTTGATATTGGATGTGAGGGAGGAAATATCCTAAATTTATGCTTAGTATGTTATTAGTGAGTGACGTTCAGAAGCCATCTTAAAAGTTAAAAAATGTGAATACTCAAAGTCCAGGATACACTGTAATTAACAAAGGTATGAGGTAGTACCATTTATCTATCATTCTCATATGCTCCCGGAAGATAAATGCCATATATGCATGTGTCTCTTCTAGGAAAGAAAAGAAAAGGAAAGAAAAGAAAAAAAGAAAATGACAAATTGAAAACTTTGTCAAAATGGTTACCTGTCTAGGGGGGAAGGGAGAACAATGTGGAGAGGAAAGGAATGAAAATTAGACTTCTCCCCCTTCTCCTCCCCCACTTCTCCTCCTTCTTCTTCTTTCTTAAGTTAGACTTCTTAAAGAAAACTTGTTTTTTTCAGTTTGACTTTGGAACCACATGCATATTTTGCTTAATTACAAAGGCTATTAAATCAAGGTTTGAGAGAGAAATCCTTGAAAATAAAAAACCATGATGATAACCTAACTTTGTATGGAGGAACCCAGAGAGATGATGGTGGCATGGCTCCTATGGTAGGGCTGGAGGCGGTCAGATTCTGGATATTTGGAAGGGAAAGGCAACAGGATTTGCTGGTGGATTGGGTTTGGATGTCAAAGAGCCAGAAGTCGAGGGTCACAAAAGTTTCAGGCCTGAGGAACTAGAAAAATAGTATGTGGAAGACTGCAGTGGGGGCAGCGGGGGCTTGGTTTTGGACATAAGTTTGAGATGCCCATCAGACATCCAACAGAGACACAGAATAGTCAGGTGGATATATGACTTAGGAATTCAGGAAGAGATCTTCTAAAGATTCAAATTAGAATGCGCAATATAGGAAAGCAAATAGTAGACGAGAAAAGAATCTCCTCTGGAAATCACGCTGGCTAATAAGTGAGAACAAAACTAGAATGTCAGCATTTTGTGCTCCCCAATCAATGAATGGCTCTAGGGTACAGGCAAGGAATATCACTGGCTGCTAGCATGTCAGAAGGAGATAGAGGTAGACAGATGTGCCATCTGATGGAAAAAAACACCTGTCGCCTTGTAGAAGGGATCCAGCCTGTGGACCCTGCTGCGTGAAGCATGGTCAACTGCATCCTGGATATACAGTCAGCAGAGCCAGAGAGTGGGAAACTATGCTCTGCAGGTTCCTCAATGGTAAACTATAAGGAAAGGAGAGGGATGGGAGGGGAAAATAAAGATTAGAGAGATTTAAAAGACACCAAAAGAAAAAAACTAGGCAGGATCAGGCTCTTGTACCTGAGGTTGCATGTTTAGGTGATGAGGTGATGAAGACCCAAGGTAAGTGCTGTGGGGGTCGGAATGCTGTGGATGGGACGGGGCACATGGTGGGGAGTTTTGGGGATGGCTGGCACTAGTCCGTATTTTTGGCTGAGGTGGTATTTGGTGGGGAGATTCCCTTGTAAAGCTTCATAAAGCTATACTTTCGCTTGATGAGTTTTTGTATTTTGTCCTATTTTACAATATAAAGGTTAAAACAAACCTGCTCTTAAAAAATGAGTCCAGAAGTAATAGATGCTCTTATTTCCCACCTGTTGTTTTACTAGTAAAATGGTGTCAAGATTGGTTTAGGCCATACCTTGTAACGTCCCAAGTGTAGCTTCCAGTGGTCGTATTAAAGATTTTTCAAGTGGAAGTTTCCTTTTTCATTAATGAAATATTTTGGGTATATTAAAAACAGTTTGAGGGACACCTGGGTGGCTCAGTTGGTTAAGCGGCTGCCTTCGGCTCAGGTCATGATCCCAGAGTTGTGGGATCGAGTCCCACATCGGGCTCCTTGCTCAGCAGGGAGCCTGCTTCTCCCTCTGCCTCTGCCTGCCACTCTATCTGCCTGTGCTCGCTCTCTCTCTCTCTCTCTCTCTCTGACAAATAAATAAAATCTTTCAAAAAAAAGTTTGCAAAATAAGACAACAATAATACTTTAGACCCACCATCTGTTTAAAATGTTAGAGATACGATTCATGTCCCATGGATACCCTTCCCCGATTTCATTTTTTCTCCCTTCCCTTTGGAGAGGTAACCACTATTTTGAATTTGGTGTTAACCACTCTCATTTGATCTTACACTTTTACATACAGTTCTCCTTTCTGAGGGTTCGAGAGCATGTGCAACTGACCTTATTTTCCCTAATGGCATTACTATTGTTAAAAAGCAAGCAGACTTCTATGAGAATAGACCTTACCTTCCCATCTGCATTATGGTCTTTGGCTCTGCTCTAAGAAGCACTAGTTTAAGCACGGTCGCCACTGCTTCCTAAAAATAAATGATCAGCATTTACTGTGTGGAACACTGTAGTGTCTTTAATTATTCTTCTCTCTAAATTTACCAATGGTCTAATTGGTTTATTAAAGACCAAGTGTTCACTAGGAGAACTAATGGGTGGTTAGCCATAATGTGTGGTAAGAAGCAAGTTATGAAATAGTCATTTGAATCTGAAGGAAAATATGAAAATTACACAAATATACATATAGTTGTGTGTATAGTTATATGTGTGCAAATACAGGTTACACAAATCATCTTGAGTCACATCTGACATGTGCTTTAAGGCTGGGTAGTGCTATCTAATCAAACATCTTTTCAGTGACCTCTAGTCACTGAAACTATACCTAAAAATATTCATGGATTAAAAGTATTCAGTCCTGGGGGAGCCTGGTGGCTCAGGGTTAAGTGTCCAACTTTTGATTTTGACTCAGGTCATGATCTCAGGGTCATGAGATTGAGCTCTGTGTTGGGTGGGGTGGGGGTTCCATGCTCAACGGGGAGTCTGCTTGAGATTTTCTTTCCCCCTTTGTCCCTCCCCTGTGTACATGCTCTCTCTCTAGAATAAAAACGAATCTTAAAGTATTCAGCTTTCTCTGAATAACCTGAGCATTCCCTTCCCCTTCCCTCCCTTCCTCTTTTTTCTTCAGCATTCTTCTCTCTTCATTTTAAGATAAAAATTTTTATTCAATATTATTCACTGATTTCTTTCTATAAAACAAATTGTCGGGGTCCTTTATTTCTGTTTCTTGTAAGGCTCCTTCTCTGGGGGGAAATGTGCAAGGTGTTGACGATTATCCAGAATATCTCAAACATGGTTAGTTTTCTGGACTCCTATTAATTTACCTTAGAAGTGTGAAAGGAACCTGAAGGTTACCTAGGAAGATCTGAATAGCCACATTCCTTTTTTCTTTTCTTTCTTTTTTTTTTTTAAAGAATTATTTGTTTGAGAGAGTGAGAGAACAAGCACAGGTGCTTCAGGGTGGGTGCAAGAGCAGAGCGAGGGAATCCGGGGCAGACGCCGCACTGAGCCGGGAGCCCCCCATGGGGCTTGCTCTCACAACCCCTTGATCTCCCTCTCCCCCCTTCTCAGAGAGACAGAAAGCAAAGGCACATGAGCTGGGAGGGGCAAAGGGAGAGGAGAAAGAATCTGAAGCTGACTTCGGACTGAGTGCAGAGCCCGAGGTAGGGCTCGATCCCACAACCGCAAGATCAGGACCTGAGCTGGATGTCAGAGGCTTCCCAGCAGCTGCACGCGCAGGACGCCTTCCTGTTCTGAAACACCAGGCCCCTTCCTGGAGAGGCTCTGCCTCGGCTTTCACCCTGTCTCACTCCCTGTCTACGTTTCTGGAATGTCTGACTTCTCTCTCCTGCCTTCCTCATCTCCCATGCAGTTGGCCTCCAGCAATCCGGCTTCTGCCTCCACCGCTTCTTCCCAACTGCTCCCTGCAAGTCGCCGATCATCTTTTTTTTTTTTTTTTTTTTTTTTTTAAGATTTTTATTTTATTTGAGAGCGAGAGAATGAGCGAGAGAGAGCAGGAGCAGGGGGAGAGAGAGGGGGAAGCAGACTCAAGAATGAGCAGGGAGCCCGACGCGGGGCTCGATCCCCGGACCCTGAGCTCTTGACCTCAGGCGACCGCAGAGCCACGCAGGCGCCTCGGGCGATCATCTAACGTGGAGCCAATGAGCACCTTTTAGATCTTGTTCAGCTGCTTCGGGGCACAAAGCACAGAACACATTCTCGGGACTCTCTTCTCTGGGCGTCCGGGACCCGCGGCTCTGGTCTAGGTCGCCCCTCTCTGTCCTCTCCTGACAGTCTCTGCTTCTTGGGCCTCTTCTCCCCTCACTCCCGGCTTCTCCGCGCTCTTCCACCGGCTTCAGCCGCCGGCCGTGCCCCTCTGAGCGCGACCTAAACCTTCGGGGACGGATGTGGAGGACAGACACAGACTGGCCACTTCAGCGGGCAGCAAAATTCAACTGTCCCCGGCGCCCTCTGTCCCCTTGAGCCCCCTGACCCCCTCCCTCACCGCCTCGCTCCTCCACCTGGTTTCCTTCCCGTTTCCCGCCGCCTGAGGAAAAACTCGGACAATCATCACGTTGTGGACCTGAAGCTGACACGCCGTCCTGAGCTGTGTCTCCGCGACTCTGGGGACGGAGGCTGAAAGCACGTGGAGAATCGTCCTAGGCCTGACCGAGCTCCCTGACTTTCACGGTCTCTTCGGGACTCGCCCTCCTCCTCCTCCGGACCCCGCCGGCCTTCCCCGGGCCCGAGATCTCCCCCAGCAACTGCGAGGACGCGGTCCCGGCTGGGTGACCGTGAGGACGCCGTCCCAACGGCTCTCCCCCTCCAGACCGCCCCCCACGTCATAACCGAGCAGGTTCTCCAGAGACGCTCCGACCCTGCGGCCGCCCCGGGCCCCGCGCCGAGCCAGCGTCTCGGCCTTCCCGAGCTCATCCTCCGCCGCCGCGCACGCTAGCCTGCGCCCCGCCGCCCTGACGCTCCCGCGGCCCCGCACGCAGCGCCCCGTTCCACGCGCACGGAGTCGCCGCTGCCCTCTCTGGCTCCGGCAGTCCTGCCTCACGCGGCCGCTAAGCCGCCGCCCCAGTGCCCGTGCGGGGTCCGCGGGCCGCCGCCGCCCGAGCGCCGCCGCCGCCGCCGCCCCGCCCCGCCGCGAGCAGGGCTTTCACGCCGTACGACAGCTGCGTCCGGCCTCGGTCCTAACGGGACCGCGAGCTCATCACGGCGCCACTCCGGGTCCCGCCTGTTCCTCGGGGCCGCATCTTCCGCAGCTCTACCCTGGACTATGCAGCTACCAGCCGTCCCACAACTGCCTGCGGACGCGGGGGACACGAGCTGTAGAAGCGCCGCGGCAACGGCAACCGCGCGGGGCTGCCATCGCCGCCCGCGGGCCGCGTGCACCACCCACCCCGACCGCTGGGCGGCGCACGTGCGGCCCCGCCTTGCGGATCCGCCGCTCGCGGCTCCCATGGCTCCCACAGGCCGGCGTCGCGCGGGGCGGGGCCTGTAGCCTCTACCTCCCTCCAGGGGCCGCCCGGCCGCGCGGCGTGGTGAGGGGCGGGCCCGGCAGGCGCCTCCCTCCAAGAGGCGGGAGCCGCCGGGGCGGAGGTCCGGACACCGGAGTACCTGATAGGAGCCGCCGGTCAGGGCCAGCTCGGCGAGGACCGCGCGGCCGTTAGCGACACAGCTGTAGGTGATTGTCATGGCGCGCGCGCCCGGGAAGGGACGGCTGCGGCCCGCCCCAACCGCCGGGTCGTCCTCGGGGCGGGGCTGGGGCGGTGCTGTGGGCGGTGCTTGCGCAGGCGCGAGGAGCGCAGACGGGCAGGCGGGGCGGGGGGCCGGGCCCTCGGCTCTAGCTGGTGCAGGGAGGCGGCGGTTCGGTGAAGCACGGGCTCGGGGTGGGCGGGCGCTTCTCCCTCCTGGTGGTCCTCGAGGTCCTCCGCGAGCGGAAAGCCCAAGTGAGGCGCGCTGGATCCGGCCTCAGAAGAGACGCGAATTCGGGCACTTGGAGAGCGGGGCCGAACCCAGTGCGGCGAGCCGGTCGTGAAGAGCGACCGCCGGCTGCTCGCGCGGGAGGCGGCTCGGGGGTCCGGCTGCAGAGACCCTCCGAGCGGCGGCGGGCGGCGGGGCAGAGCGGGCGGCGGGACGCGGGCGGTGGAGGCTCGCCGTGAAGGGAGACTCCTCGGGATTGGGCCGGCGCCTGCCGAGCTCGCGCAGTGCGGGTGCTGAGACCGCGGCCCGCGCCCGGCCCCGCGGGCTTCTTCCCGGAAGCGGGCCCCGCGGCGGGTGCAGACGCCGCCCTCAGGGGCGCTGCGAGGGGAGCGTACGCGGGGCCGCAGGACCGGAGCGCGGGCCGCCAGCTCTCCCCGGGGCGCGGAGCCGAGCTCTCCGTTTGCGGCTGCCTGGAGCGGCCGGAACCCCTAGTGCGGAGGGCGCGGCTTCCCTCAGCGCCCGAGAGCCGGCGGGTGGGGTGGGGGACTGCGCGCGGGCGAGCGCGGCGGGGGAAGCTGTGGTGCGGCGGGTGGGAGACGGGGCGGGGCTGCCGGGATGACTGGTCGTCCCGGATCTCCACTTCCTTGACAAGAATTTTTAAAATATGAGCTTCGGGCGAGGACACGGTCCCATCAGCTGCCACGAGAGAGAGAAAAGTCGGACACAGTTGGGTTAAACACAGGCGTTGCCGGGTGCTCGGCGCCTTGTCCTGACTTAGCCTCTCGGAGACCCACTTTCCTGGTCTGTAACGCGGGGACAGTCGCCAGATTTATTAATCATGCGGGACCTTAGCGTGCGGCGGGTGAGCGGATAACCAGAAATGAGGATCCCTGTTGCTCCGGTGGTGTTCCTCCAAGGGAGGGTCGATCGGTGTCCTTCGGGGGTCGGCAGAGGTGAGGACCTGCCGTGGGCGGAGTCAGACGGGGTTTGACAAGCAAAACCGGCCGGACTGTAGCTCCCCGGAAAATGCTGTTGAGGCGCGTGTCCTTCTGCACAAAGGAAATTCCCAATCGATGCGCCTCACCCGCCCAGAGGGACCGTCTCGGGGTCCCCGACCGGAGAGCGCCGGCCACACCGTAGAACGCGGGCCGGTGAAGCCTGTTAGTTCCGAGCGGGTGCGCGGGGACCTTCTCGCTCGCCGCCGAAGCTGAGTGAACTGAGCGGCGGCGGCACCTTTTCTTAGGAACCAGTGGGGCTGAGACGGGAGCGAAATCATGAACTGCAGGAAGGACAACGGTCGTCGGACGCGTGGGAGGCTGTTTATGGGGTCTCCCCGGCTCGGTGTCCCCTGGTTACGCGGACACGATCCTGTAAAGCAGGGGCGGTGGCTTCCTTCTGCACCGCCGCTCGTTCAGCCCCGCAGCCGCGCGACACCACGGCTGTGTGTCTCTCCGAGCCCGTTTTACCCGCGGTCTGAGGGTTCGTCCGGTCAACGCCGGTGTCCTCGGTTGGCTCCCGCTTCGCCCCTTCCCCTGTTTGCGTGTAGGGTAGGGGTGGGCTGCGTGGGGAGGTCTGACTCGAGCCGGTGGTCCCTGGAAGGGGGCGCCTGCTGCTCGCGTCTGTTTTCCGTCTCTGTCAGCTCACGGACGCCCCTTCAGGCCCTCTGCGTGTCTCAGCCACTTCTGTGGAAACTTTGGAAGAGGAGAACTTTCCCCTGCCGCCGCCTGCACTCTGAGGCGGCGGGAGGCTCCGCGGCTGTCTCGGGCCTCCGGCCCACGCACGGCGGTGCCACGCTTCCTGTCACGCTGTCACTCTGTCGTCCTGTGGGGAGCGGCTCTCAGACCTTATCCCACCTGCGCTGCAGGCCCTTGGATTCCCAGTGAACTGAGCGTCCGCTCGTCACCTCATTCCATCGCCTCACCTGCCGCGGGGACCCCGGCTAAGCGGCCGCTTCCCTCACGCTGTCCTCCTCCGGCCTCTGCACACTCCTGCAAGGCTGGGTGCGGAGCCTCCCACCACCCCGGCATTCTTCCCAATTTATGCCATTAACGTTGGCTTCTTTAGCCCCAAACCTTTCCTTTTCATATACTCTCTCTTCAGGGACTTGCCAAAACCTGTTCTGAACTTTTTTTTTTTTTTTTTTTAATTTATTTGACAGACAGATCACGAGTAGGCAGAGAGGCAGGCAGAGAGAGAGGAGGAGGCAGGCTCCCTGCTGAGCAGAGAGCCCGATGCGGGACTCGATCCCCGGACCCTGAGATCATGACCTGGGCTGAAGGCAGAGGCTTTAATCACTGAGCCACCCAGGCGCCCCTGTTCTGAACTTTTAAGAGCGGAGAATCCCTTCCTTCTTTGCTCCTCTGCCTCTGTCCTTCCTTGTCCTCCGTTTTCCTGGTTGTCTATTTTTATGCAGAGAAGGATGACAACCACAGCAGGCTATTTTTCCTTTTTTTTTTTTTTTTTTTTTTTTTTTTGGGACACAGAGATCGCAAGTAGGCAGAGAGGCAGGCAGAGGCAGGGGGAAGCAGGCTCCCTGCTGAGCAGAAAGCCGGGTGCGGGGCTCCATCCCAGGACCCTGAGACCATGAGCTGAGCTGAAGGCAGAGGCTTAACCCACTGAGCCACCCAGGCGCCCATCTCAGGCATTTTTATGTCTCCCCTGATAGTTTGCCAGAACTTTGGGGGCAGAGCACAATGAGTGGCGAGAAGCTGGATCCATGGGAAGGAGACATGGGACATTTGTGATTGTCCATTTCTTTTAACACAAGCTTTTAGACTTCATGACTACTTTCATTGACTAGTGAATCTACTGTCATTGCTTTATACAGGTCAGCCTCACAGATGGGAAAGTCGCCAGGATTTGAATCATGCAATTTCTTAGGTCACTGCAGTTTGCAAATATTCCATAAGCTGGGGCGCCTCAAGCACTGACTGATTGAGGATTCTCCTTGTTTAGTATTGAAGTTCTCCTCTGAAGGACCCCTCTTTAACTCACTGTCGTTCATCAAAATGAGAATATTTATATATATTTCTTCTTATGGCTTCTAATCACTATAGTAATTCAAACAATACAGCAGTAAAAGTCTATTTTTACTACTACTACTAGTAATAACAATAATTGTATAAAATTATTATATAATTAATAGCAATAGTCATAATTTAATTTATATTGGATTGTTTTGATACATTTTTATATTTAACATTAATGGATACATGCATACTATTTTTTCCAAAACCTGTTTTTTGTTTCGTTTTTAAATTAATATATTGCTGCCTTTGACTAACACATGTATTTCAAATATTTTCCTCTGAAGTTTATAATTTTTTGTTTCTGGTGGCTATTCTTTTGCAGACATTTTTGTTTCTCACTTAATGAGCCATGTCCCTCCTTTTTATTGTGATGATGGGACTTAGTGGCACATTAGACAAGGCTTCCTTTCCTGTTCCCATATGAAAATATTTCTTCAATCTTCTTGTCACTTTTGTTTATTTTAATGTTTAAATCTTTAATCCAACTGGAAGTTGTTTTTGTGTCTCTTGTGAGGAAGAAATATGTGTTTTTCCAAATATAGTACCCATTGTTTCAGACCTCGTACTTGAAGTGCTGCTTCTGCCATACACGAAATTCTTCCACAACGCTGTTAATTGGGCTTTAAAGTTGGTGGACATGTGCTTATATCACAATGATTCAATAATTACTGCTTGAATCGCTTTAAACTTAAGAAATTGGAAAGAGTTAATATATTTGCAATATTGAGTCTTCTCATCCAGGAACATGGGATGACTTTCTATTCTTTATTATATCTTCCTATAAAAGCTCTGTAAGTTTCTTCATAAAGGCTTGCCAAATTTTTTTTTTAAATCTTTGTTCTAGGGTATTTTGGCTGCTCTTGTTTATTTTTATTAATTAATTAATTATTTTTTAAGGATTTTCTTTATTTGACACAGAGGGAGCAAGCACACAAGCAGGGGAAGCAAGAGAGGAAGAAGCAGGCTCCCTACTGAGCAAGGAGCTCCAAGCAGGACCCAAGCCCAGGACCCTGGGATCATGACCTGAGCTGAAGGCAGATGCTTAACCAACTGAGCCACACAGGTGCCCCTTGGCTGTTCTTGTTTATGGACTTTGTTCCCCATTTTGTCTTCAAAATTGCTGTTTCTGGCATATATTACTCCATTTTTTTTTTTTTTTTTTTTTAAGTAGACTCCATGCTCAAAGTGGAGCTTGAACTCACAACCCCGAGATGAAAGGTGCCGTGCTCTATTCACTGAGCCAGCCAGGCCCTCTGTTTCTGGTATATAGAAAATCTGTTGGCTGTGATGTGGGGTTGTCGAGTGCAGTGGCCATGAAAGAATTCTTGAGATGTGTTCTGATGCAGCCTAGTAAGTTTATTTAAGTAGCGCGGGGACAGGACCCATGGGCAGAAAGGGCTACACTTTTGCTGTATGAAGCTCTTGGTTATAAGCTTAGCATGCGGGGGTGGGAAGGGACGTGCAGGCGGCATTAGATCATAAATGTCTTTGAATTTTTACCCGTCAAACTGCTTTCACAAGATTTCTCTGGTGCTTATCATTCCGTTCAATATTAGCTAGCAGTGACATGCCCAGGCAGTCACGAGACCCTTTCAGGATGCGGCAACCAGCACACATTTGATCCTTATCGGACCTATGCAGGTCGGCCTTGCAGGCTGAAGTTGAACATTTTTCTGCTTCTATCCTTCATCAGCTACATGTAAGTTATTTTACGTATAGCCCCGCTCCATTATATTGTAAACTAAGGCTGAGGGCTTCGTGCGCATCACAGGGCGCTATCCTCCATGTGACTGGGATGTAGGATACCACTGTTGGCTCTCATATTA